CTCCCTTATTCAGGCATCACTCCAGCCATGATCTTGCTGGTTGGCCTTAGGCAATCGGTGGGAACCTTTTTGGCCCTGTGGGTTAGATCTTTATCTCACCTCAACTTTTGAGTGCCATCATTATGAAATCAGATGTTTGACAGATGGGTAGTCCTATCTACTTCAACAAGTGGGCAGGACCACCTACCTATTAATCATCTGATGTCAAAATGATGTGAGGTGATTTGTTAGGGGCAGCAGTCTCCCCAACCCATCTAAATTTGGGGGAAGATCGTGACCAAGCAGGACCAAACTTCCCATGGATCAGCTGATGGACAGGGAGTTCAATCCTGCCTTCTGCAGGCTCACCTATCTAAGTTGTATCTCTACCTCCCCCATGTGTGATGTCAAGAAGGGGCAGGTAGGCGTGGTAGGCTAAACCAGGCCCTAGGCTCCCCAACCCTGCTGGATGGAGGTAACAATACTGGCCTACATTGCAAGGCTGTTGTGCTGAATCAATGCAAGGCATGGTGAGGATGCCAAACCTGACCTCCTGCATCAAGCTAAGCAGCTTTCGCAAAAGGTAAGAGATTTGAGCCACGCAACCTTCCTTACCTGCAGCCTCCTCATGGCCTCCGAGTCCTGATCTGCTTTCACTTTACAAGCCACCAGCAACTGTGCTGTGGACGCTGCCACTTGCTTGGCAGAGGAGATCAGTTTCTCCTCGCTGGCGTGGCCTTGGACTGAAGCATTGGCCGCTTCACAGAGGTTGCTGGTGGCAGCTGCCACCATTCGGGCCTGGAAGGAGCAACAACAGAATATCAGGCCTGGCTTTATTGCTGAGTCAGGCCAATGATCCACTAGGCTCAGGCAGCAAATTTGGCAGTTTACAAAGGTTTCACACCCACCCACCCTTATCTCCATCCACAGAAGCAAGAAGCATTATCACAGTTCAAGAGAGCCAGTGGGGTGTAGTCGGTAAGGGGGTGGACCATTTCAAATCCCCACTTTGCCACAACTGCCCCTCAGCCCAGGCCCTAGCCTAGTGGGCTGCTCTCAGTGGCTGCTGTGAGGATGGAATAGGGTGTGGAGAACCATGTACACCACCTTGAGCTCCTTTCTGGAAAAGGTGAGATATTAATACAATAAATAACAGGTAGCACACCAGAAAAGCTAAGCAGGGCCCGGTATGGTTTCAAATTGGATGGGGAACCGTGTGCTGAGATTCTTGCATTACAAGGAGTTGGACTAGATGACTTTATGAAAATAAAAAAGGGCACAATCCAGCCAGGCAAAAGTGCTCAAGGGCCCCCAAAGCAGGGGTAGCAAGGGCCATGGCCCATGAGGGAGTCCCAGGGAGGCTGCATCCAGTCCCCTACCCTCTGCTTCAACAGGAAATATGAGGGCCTGAGCCTGCAAAATATGAGGGCCTGCAATGCTTCTGTCCAACTGCAGAGCAACAGGGGGTTGGGCGGATCTGATCAGGCCAGCAGAGAGCAGATGGTGGCTACCTTTGAAAAGGTGGAAGGAGAAAAATCTGGACTAACTCACGGCGGAAATAAGTCCCTGAGACCACTGTCCATCATCAGCTGCATTGGCAGGGATGGCTCCAACCTAGAAACACAGTTCAGACAAAATTAATTAGCAGGAATAATTAATTAATTATTAATGACATGTGGTGGGATTGACAGCATGGAAGCAACGTTTTATTAAAACATTTAGATGGCTTTGGGCCTTGCATCAACATCTGGGGGAAATGGGACAGGGTACATGAGCAGCAGCTGCCTTATGATAAACATCTGGGCAGCATTATGGGCTGCAGCTGAACTTGCCCTCAGATGGGACTGGGAGGTTAAACCAAAATGCATCTGGAAATCTGCTCAGGAGCTCTCAGTGCTTTTCGCTACAGGAAAGGCTCCCCCAGATCCACCTGATGGCAGTTAAAAGTTATACCACGAGGCACTAGAGGCACCTTGGGGCACTTAGCTTAACTGTGAGGCCACGAGGCAATTGCCTCATAGCTGCAGGGACCATAAGGGCTGCTGCATTAGTGGGTAAAGCTGTAAGAAATGAGAGACGGCAAGCTATGCTGCGTCTGAACTGTATCGGGAGACAGGCAGATGATGGGACATTACTCCAGCACAGCTGCCCCGGCATCTGTTCCCTGAACTCCACCAGCCGATGTGTCGTCTCATAGTTAAAGTGGTGACTTACATTTTCCTGGGCAGAGTCTTGCTCACTAACCTTGCCCTGGGCAACCAGCTCCCTCTGAGCTGCAGACGCGGACTTGACAAGCGCGCTGGTGGCGGCTGCAATGGATTTAGCTGCTTCAAGGATCTGCTCTTCAAAATCCAGGGTCTCGTCTGCCTGCTGTAACCAGAAGAGGAGACTATCACCTACAGTTCTCTTGAAATTTCAGCAGTTTTGCCCTTGCCTGGTGAATACTCAGCTAGGGGGGTTGGACCAGATGAGGCTTTGAGACCCTTCCAACTCTATAGCTCTATTCTATGATACCATTAAAATAATAATAAAGGAGCAGGAAGAAGCACATTCCACACAAGGCTCTCTAAGTCTTCCTGTGCCAGAAGAAGAATGCAATAAGAGAGGAGGATTAAGCAAAATACTGGCTTTATTTGAAAGAAATGTGGCAGGCATATTTCTGCTGATTTGCTGCTTGGTTAGTCCAGTGGTGACATGTGCCCCAGGTCTAGGGCAGGGATCATGCTCAAAAGGCATCCCATGCCAGAGGTCATGTTCTCACCATGTTACTTAGGTGTGAATGGACACCACTAGTAGGATAAGCAAGGGGCGCGGGCGGCGCTGTGGGTTAAACCACAGAGCCTAGGACTTGTCGATCAGAAGGCTGGCAGCTCAAATCCCCATGACAGGCTGAGCTCCCGTTGCTCGGTCCCTGCTCCTGCCAACCTAGCAGTTTGAAAGCATGTTGAAGTGCAAGTAGATAAATAGGTATAACTCTGGCGGGAAGGTAAACGGCGTTTCCGTGTGCTGCTCTGGTTCGCCATAAGTGGCTTAGTCATGCTGGCCACATGACCTGGAAGCTGTACGCCGGCTCCCTCGGCCAGTAAAGCGAGATGAGCACCGCAACCCCAGAGTCGGTCATGACTGGACCTAATGGCCAGGGGTCCCGTTACCTTTACCTAGTAGGATAAGCTACCAGCATGTAGCCGGTAAGGCGCTAGTGTTCAGGTGGGGGGTTGTGATGCTCTATGGGGCCACAGACTGATCCAAGTGCAACAGCAATACTACCACATACCAGAATATGGGTGTGTTTTTTTAAAAAAAAAATTCCAGAAACACGTCTCCAAATGCTTGGGGTAAAGGTGGCTCTGACATCTACTGATGCCTATTGCAGCAAGTGATGTGATGGTGCTGGGTGGTGAAGCTCCTGCCAGGCTTTGGGTGGTGCAGCTCTGGAGCAGGGCATGAGGAACCTGTGGGCCGTTCAGAGTGGACTGGCCCAAGTCATTCTGCTGCAGAGGGCAAATTTATTCCAGAAACCAGCCAGACTGGCTGCTGAATCTCACTTCAGCACTGGCAGCAGGACATTTTGGATAGCTTCCTCCAATGCACCCAAGGACAGCAGGCTTGTTCATGGGGTGCAAGGCACATGGCAGGGGGTGCAGAGTTCTCTCTGCTCCATGCACCTCAGCAACTGCTGCCTGAGGCAGCTATGTCACTCTGCTTAATGGTATGGTCGGCCCTGCCTATGGTTTGTTGATGTACCAGCCCCATCTGTCATGGCTCATGGTCAGGAATGATGGGAGTCCAACAATGTTTGGAGGGAGACCAGGTTCCTTCCATATGTGGTGCAGAGAGGCTGGGAAGGCAAAAGGCCCCGGAAAGAAGGAAGCAGGACCTGAAAGGGCAGGAGGCCAAAGAGGGCAGGAAGGAAGACCCCTTGGAGGGGAAGGTGCGGGACTTGAGGGATAGCGGGTGCAATTAAAAGACGGGGGAGAGAGGGAAAGAATCAGTGGTAAGAGTTGCCTCTGGCCAAGAGCTACTGATACAAGGACATGGTTTGAAATATCCCCCGCCCCCGAAGCTGAAACAATCACAAATGTGGGGGAATTAATTTGGCTTTTACTATACAGACTCTGAAATAATGGGAAATGAAAATATATTATGTCAGACCATCTTTCTGTCTCCGTTTTGTTTTTTTGTTTGAATTGCAGGGAAGGGATCTTTCAAACACTTATACTATCTTTCCCAAAAAAAAAACTTCCTCTGTGAAACAGTCACTCGAGGTTGAGGATTAACTTTCATAAGGAAGGTGGCAGAGAGTCTCAGGATTCTAAAATGGTCCCCCCTGCCCTGCAATAGACAAACCGCCATCATTATTATTTTGCAATGCATGGGAGCTCATAGTTGAATATAGGTTCAACAGAGATTAGCACACAGAGAAGGCTGAGTTCAGCTCTGTTAAGTCACCCCTGTTATCTGTAAGTTTGCTGCCCATTACATGTAGCTCAAGAGTGAAGTCATATTAAGATCTGTTTGGCTGGGCCAGACCAAAGGTACCAGGATTAGATGCCTGGCCATGATTTGCCAGGCGCCTCCAGATGCTTCCAAGCAAGGCAAGTAAGTGATGGATTTCCCTTCTTATTTCTCCCAGGAGGCAGCACTCAAGGGTCTACTGCCTCTGTATGTGGGGGTGCCAGCAGGCAGTCACAGCTGTTAAGCCATAAAAGGGCCTACCCCTCCACCACAGTTTTTCTTATTCTTTTGGTTTATTTTACAAAACCAACTATGCTACAGAGGCCACCGCTACCACCATGTCAAGTGGCAGGGAGTTCCAAATCCGCCATCTTCCCACGATGCTTGAAAGAGGGAGCTTGGTTTTCTCCACTGCATGTATCCTCTGAACCAGATTGAAAGAAGCAGCAGAATCAGCAGGCAGTTCTTCTAAACCTTTAACAAGCCTCTTTGCAAACTCCGTTTTGCCTCCTGCTACGTTTTCTATATATTTATATATCTCTCATCTAAAAAGTCCCCGGAGACAGAGCGAGACACTGTAGGAATGTTTGATATATAGTTGGACTAAATAACAACCTAATATATCAAACATATCACACAGAGTCCTGCAGAAAAAAGGCATCCAGTTTTGGACTCAGCTTGAAATACGGATTAGACTCAACAGCAGGAAGCCACAGGGGGGCCAGATCTCGATAAAACCTTCCCCGCCCTTCCTCAAACACGGTCCTCCTCCTTCAAACACTGAAGCCAGCAGGGCAAGCTAGATGGGAACCTCAGGGGCAGCAGGCTGCGTGCTTGCGGGAAGGCGGTCTGAAGGGGGGCGGGCGGGGGCAGCCCATCGCCTGAGCAGAGCATCACTGCCCTCTACCTGCATCCTAGCAGAAATTGTGGAAAGCCATTTATATCCCTATCGCAGAACACAAAGCAGAGACAAACTGATTTCATTTACACAACATGAATAACTTCTTATAAGACTTTCATGTCAGGAAGCATCTTGATAAATGAAGAATCGTATCGTAGCACCAACAGGCAATGAGACAGCGGCCCTACACCGCCTCCCTCCTCTCAACCTTGCTGCGCAAAATGCTTTGACATTCAACGGAGGTGGCGATCTGCTGTGATGCAGACTTTGTGCACAACATGAAGTGCAATATAGAGTATGTTGTTGTCATTTAGTCGTTTAGTCGTGTCCGCCTCTTCGTGACCCCATGGACCAGAGCACACCAGGCACTCCTGTCTTCCACTGCCTCCTGCAGTTTGGTCAGACTCATGTTTGTAGCTTCAAGAACACTGCCAACCATCTCGTCCTCTGTCGTCCCCTTCTCCTTGTGCCCTCCATCTTTCCCAACATCAGGGTCTTTTCCAGAGAGTCTTCTCTTCTCATGAGGTGGCCAAAGTATTGGAGCCTCAGCTTCACGATCTGTCCTTCCAGTGAGCACTCAGGGCTGATATCCTTCAGAATGGAGAGGTTTGATCTTCTTGCAGTCCATGGGACTCTCAAGAGTCTCCTCCAGCACCATAATTCAAAAGCATCAATTCTTCAGCGATCAGCCTTCTTGATGGTCCAGCTCTCACTTCCATACATCACTACTGGGAAAACCATGAGTTTAACTGTACGTACCTTTGTTGGCAAGGTGATGTCTCTGCTTTTTAAGATGCTGTCTAGGTTTGCCATCGCCTTTCTCCCAAGGAGCAGGCGTCTTTTAATTTCGTGACTCCTGTCACCATCTGCAGTGATCATGGAGCCCAAGAAAGTAAAATCTCTCACTGCCTCCATTTCTTCCCCTTCTATTTGCCAGGAGGTGATGGGACCAGTGGCCATGATCTTCGTTTTTTTGATGTTGAGCTTCAGACCATATTTTGTGCTCTCCTCTTTCACCCTCATTAAAAGATTCTTTAATTCCTCCTCACTTTCTGCCATCAAGGTTGTGTCATCTGCATATCTGAGGTTGTTGATATTTCTTCCGGCGATCTTAATTCCAGCTAGGGATTCATCCAGCCCAGCCTTTCGCACGATGAATTCTGCATATAAGTTAAATAAGCAGGGGGACAATATACAGCCTTGCCGTACTCCTTTCCCAATTTTGAACCAGTCAGTTGTTCTATATCCAGTTCTAACTGTAGCTTCTTGTCCCACATAGAGATTTCTCAGGGGACAGATGAGGTGATCAGGCACTCCCATTTCTTCAAGAACTTGCCATTGTTTGCTGTGGTCGACACAGTCAAAGGCTTTTGCATAGTCAATGAAGCAGAAGTAGATGTCTTTCTGGACCTCTCTAGCTTTCTCCATAATCCAGCGCATGTTTGCAATTTGGTCTCTGGTTCCTCTGCCCCTTCAAAATCCAGCTTGCACTTCTGGGAGTTCTCGGTCCACATACTGCTTAAGCCTGCCTTGTAGAATTTTAAGCATAACCTTGCTAGCGTGTGAAATGAGTGCAATTGTGCGGTAGTTGGAGCATTCTTTGGCACTTCCCTTCTTTGGGATTGGGATGTAGACTGATCTTCTCCAATCCTCTGGCCACTGCTGAGTTTTCCAAATTTGCTATTTGTTATTCTATACTTCTGCAGTGAGGAGTCTGTGATGTGGAAATCATCCCTTTCAAACCAGCATGCCTTTCACCTGATATGTTTACACAATGTATTTAGCGAGCCCTGGGGCACCTGCCTCTGATCACCAGGAAATCCTTCCTGGCCACTCCTCTTGGGTTTTGCCAAATGTCCCCCCTTAAAATGTTCTATGCAAAATTGGAAACTTTGTCCCTCAAATCTCTTCGTTATTTTAAGCCTTTGCTGATAATATTGTGAGGATAATCTTTCCTTCTGGAGGGGCCTCATTTTCTTGATATATTTCCAGGACAGAATGATTCTCTGGAGTCCCTGGACCACAAGGAGGACCAACCTTGCTAGGGGAGTTTTGAGGAGATGCAAAAAAAGGGAGTCACCCTCGTGCTTAAGATCTTCTGATGCGACCCTACTCCAGACCCCACCTTCTGTATCCAGGGCAGCTGTCTACCAGCTCCATCTGGTACGCAGGCTGAGACCCTACCTGACTGTCTTGCCAGAGTGGTGCATGCTCTAGTTATCTCCTGCTTGGACTACTGCAATGCACTATTGCAATGCACTGCAATGTGGGGCTACCTTTGAAGGTGACCCAGAAACTACAACTAATCCAGAATGCGGCAGGGAGAGTGGTGACTGGGAGCGGCCGCTGAGACCATATAACACCGGTCCTGAAAGACCTACATTGGCTCCCAGTACATTTCCGAGCACAATTCAAAGTGTTGGTGCTGACCTTGAAAGCCCTAAACGGCCTCAGTCCAGTATACCTGAAGGAGCGTCTCCACCCCCATTGTTCTGCCCGGACACTGAGGTCCAGCGCCGAGGGCCTTCTGGCAGTTCCTTCACTGTGAGAAGCAGTTACAGGGAACGAGGCAGAGGGCCTTCATGGTAGTGGCTCCCGCCCTGTGGAACACCCTCCCATCAGATGTCAAAGAGATAAACAACTACTTGTCATTTAGAAGACATCTGAAGGCAGCCCTGTTTAGGGAAGTTTTTAATCTGAGACATTTTAATGTATTTTTAATCTTTGTTGGAAGCCGCCCAGAGTGGCTGGGAAAACCCAGCCAGATGGGCTTGGTACAAATAAATAATAATAATAATAATAATAATAATAATAATTAGGGTGAAGTGAGCTTGCCCTGTCTCTTGCTCACCTTAGGCTTGGCTCTTGGCTTTAGCTGCTCCAACTTCTTTGCAGCAGCTTCAATCGATGCAGCAGCTCCCAGCAACTCTGTCTCGGCAATGACTGTGGGGTCCTCTGGATCTACCCATTCGGTGCCTGCATGGAGTTTTTTTAAAAGAGAAGAACCATCACACCAGTTGCTGTAGCAGCTGAAGCTGGAACAGACCATGGCTCCTGCCACCATGCCCCAAACATGATGTCAGAAGTAAAAAGGAAAAGGTGGAGTCAGGAGGGACATCTCCACCCCCTCCAACCCCCCTCTGGCTTATTAGGGGTTTGGATCACGCTGTAAGTATCTATGCTGTGTGTCACCTGGTTAAAGAAATATTAGTTGATTAATTGTATGAGGCTGAGTTGAATTGTATGCAAACTTTTTATCACCTTTATGCATTTTCAGTACTAAATATAGCCGAATCACATAAACTTGATTAATTAAAAACAATTAATTTTGAAGCAGACACACACATTTGTTGCTTTTAGATGATGCATTTGGTTGTCCTGGCAAGTGCCATCTACACCCCTCCTCGTGTGTGTGTGTGTGTGTGTGTGTGTGTGATAGAGATAGACAGATAGCGAGAGAAAGAGTTCTTCTAAAATGCTGCTCATAGTTGCCACATTTTATACTTCTGTTAACTGAAAAAAAACCCCACCCTCAGCCTATCAGAGCAGCCTATCAAAAGTCATTAATCTAAGAGACTAAGCCTTGCAGCCATACTTCTTATTAACCCCTGTGCTTATAAGGCCCAGTGAAATGAATGTGGCTGACAGTAGATTCCTATCTCTGAGCCCAGAAGGTGAGATCATTTGCATGTTATGACAGCAGAGCAGCCAAACTCACCTTTCATTGCTTCGGCTGACTGTATGAGCTCTGTGACAGCACTAGCAACCCTCTTTGACAAGGCAGCCAACTGATGCTTCAGTTCTGGGGTGGGCTTCTGGAGAATCTGGAGGTGCAAATTAGAGTGGAGACTAACATTTTAGTCCTGTGCCAGAAGTCTGTAGATGTTCAATTTTTGTTTGCTAGCCAAACAGCAGCTGCTTAGGCACCATCGCTCTTTCTTTTGCAAAACAAGTCCTCCTTCCTGAGCCCAGCCAATTAGGGTCCATAGAAGCATTGCTACTTCAGTGTCAATACAGAGTGAGGGCAACCCTTCCTGGAGCAGTTCCTAATTATTTCAAATGGAGCTTCCATCAAAGAAGATCCACTTAGTTGTATTTTCCTCTAAAATAAAAAAGCTCCATATGTTTTAACCTCTCCTCATAAGGAATGGGGTCCAACCTCCTCTTGATACAATAGCAAGTAAGGTTGTTGAGAGTGAATGAGTAGACCCACAACCTGGGGATCCTGGTATTCTGGGCAAAGACTTGCCCAGCCCTCACCTCCTAAACTGGCAAGGGAACTCGTTGCTAGTTTGGAATGTAAGATGCTTCTCTCACCCTATAATTAACCGGGCCTTAGGTATAATTCAATGGCAAATGCCGCACATAACTCTAAGCCATGATTCGTTCTAACCAGAGTTTTGTCAACAAACCATAAATTATGTCAGAGATAAGCAAACAACCTGGGCTTCGTTTCTCCAAAGCTTAGTTCATTTCCAAACTGTTCTTGCCTTGTGCCTCTGTAGCTTCGTGAGAGTCTGGGGTGGGGTGGTGAAACAAGCCATGGCTAAGCTGGGTCTGGACATAATGTCAAGCCATTGTTAAAGTGAGATATGGTTTGTAGGTCATTACAATTTGATGCCAGAAAACGAACCATGATTAGTCTATTGGACTGAGTTGGGATATTCGAAGAAAACCACACTTTGGTGAAACCAACCAAGTTATATGCGAACTGAGCAACAGCAATCTCATAAAATGCATTTGTATCC